AAAATAAATGAGAAAGAAAGAAAAGAAAAAGGAACTAAGCAACATTTTTTAACCAGCTAGGCAACCATCTGGAGTACCACAAGTATTTATTCCCCACGGTTCAAGTCATTAAATTTAAATACCTATCCTTGTGTACTTTTAAGGAGAGAAAATTGTTGACACTGTGATCATTCAATATCACAACGACCAAGGTAAAAACCAATTTCAAAGGATAGATTTTCAACAGTCTCCACCGTTGAAGTTAAGAAGTTAGAAAATAGTGAGGGCAAAATACTTCAGAGCATCCTTACCAGTCCAATTTTGAATTTACATCCAAGGAAAAAGTTGATTCAATAGGTGTCATAGCCTCCTCAGCTGTCTGTTCGGATTAGATAAGAATAAGTAATAGTTTTGAAAGAGGAAAAAGGAGCCGCCAAAGAAACTATCCACCAGAAGTAAAAGATAAACAGCAAGACGTTGACACTACAACAATTACCTTTTCAGTTAAATCTAGAGCTCCACTAATTATTGTTGTTTCATCATGGGTGAGTTCGCCACCCTTTCCAGCCTATACACAAGAAGATTAAAACAAAAAATAAAATAAATTAAAATTACGAGAATTTAAAGAATTCTGCAGCAAACTTATTCATGTACCTCCAGACTGTGGATGGAGACAAGAGCTTTTAACTGAGCACGCCTAAACAATGCCTCATTATGTCCCAGCAAACAGTCAAGAATCTGAAGTGTAAGATAAATTTTCATTGGCTTTAGGAGTCATGATACATGGACGAGAGGACCAAATCAATGGCAGGGTGAGATAATAGGAAGCAGCCAAATTTTTAAAAATGGGGTCTCAAAAAGTATAACACTTTTATCCGGTAAACTTAGTTCATTTCAACAATATGATGCATTTATGACTCCATGTGCCCCCAATGACCCCCACTACACAAGAAAAACGAGGTAGAAAAATAAAAACGACATGGGGTTATCATCACATAAATAATTACAGCAATAAGAAACCTGCATCCTTATTATTCTACAAGAAGAGAATTTTAGCCAGCATAGAACTTTCAAAGAATTAGCTAAAACCAACACATAGCCACCAAAAGTTGTTGGCCTACAATGCCCTGCTAATTTCAAAACAATCTTCCAGGAACTCATTTGCAGTGCCTACGACTAAACTTAGAATAATCCTCGAGGACTAGCATCAAGATTGTACAAATAACCAAAGGTGCAAATTATATCATCCAAGGCTTCTTGTCATGCCGTTAAAGAAAGGTGCGATGGACTTCTTGAGTATGCACCTTAGTTTTCTATTAGAAATATGCAATTAATTTGAATATAGTATTTATCAATAGCAATTTTCTATCTAGATAAAATCCTTGTATTGATAAAAACTTTCATGCAGTCATTATATTGTAACCAACACAAACAAAAATCATTTTTTCATAATCAAAGAAATTGCTCTCAATTTATGTGGCTCACTTACTTACTAAATAGTCAAACTAACAACATATTAAGAAACTTACCTTCCCGATGGGATAAGCAATTGGATAGCAAATAACCATTAAAATTCGTACTAGACACACAAAATTGGCACCGACAGCCAGTCCATACCGGGTGCAAATTGCTTGCGGTATAACCTAGCAATAACAGAAAACATTCCAAACAAAACAGCATAAATCATTCATATACAGGAATCTTGGTTAAGGAGATACCAGGAAAAAGCAGAAAAAAGTAAAGTAGCATACCTCACCAAATGCCAATACAAATGTCACAGAGAGAATTATAGCAACATACTGATTAAAAAGTTTGTCCAAGTATATTGGAAGTGCCTGCAGATAGCAAAGGCCAAAACATTAAAAAGCTATCCCAAATTAAATATGGATATCCATAACATCACAACGAATGCATTGAGGAGCAAAGTTTGACAGAAATACAAACAAAAAATCTTATGTATAAATCCCAAATTAGTTTCTCCACCCAATTTTCAGCCTCTTTTCAAAAGAAGATTCCTAAGCAATCTGCCAGCCGGAATCAATAAATGAAGAACACCCCTGTTTTTTAAGCAACCCAAAACATGACTCCGGATCCAATCAATTCAGTTACCTCCATGGCAACGGCATTGCATAAGAGCAACGTAACAAGGAGCTGGTGCTGCTTTTGGACCACTGGGAGTATAGCCGCTGAAAACAAACAATTATAATTTGCAACAAATTAAAACAATACACAATCGTAACCACCGTAAGCTGCAAATTGATGCTAGCCAGAAGCAGCACAGTGAATTTGGAGAACTAAGCACCCGCAGGAAGTCACATACTTACGCATCCGAAAATCCATTTCACCAAGAATCAAACCGAATCCTAGGTGAATCGATCGTTTGAAGAATTGGAATCAGATTACAGAACGAAAACATACCTGCTTGTTTCTTCTCCTCAGGGGTGCCGCTCCGTTGAAGAATTTCAAGGTCGACAAGACCGAGAGACATGAGACCAAGGGTCAAACCGGACATTATTCCGGCGAAGAGGACAAAAACGCAGGAGATCCCGGCGTAGGTGAACCACAACAACGATCCAAACGGAATTTCACCGGCATCCGATTCCAGCCCCGAATTCCGAGTCAGCATTCGAGTCAACATCACAGCATTTATAAAATGCATCTTCACTCCTGATTCTGATCCTCCTCCCTCCTGCTTTATTGTCTCTGTATCGCAGCCGCAGAATCTCTCTCTGCTCTGCACACGACGGAAGCGTTTTTCAGGTTTTTGATTTTCCGGTAGCGGCTCTATTTGTTTTTTTTTATTTATTTAATTTTAAATATCACTTTTTTTCTTTTATCTTGTATATCGTTCCGTGATGGGTTACGGGACGGGACCGTGAGGCCACGTCGGGGAATCGGAGAGGTTCTGGAGAATTTTAACCGATTGAGACGGTGATCGGTACGGCTTTGTGGAAAGGCTTGTACGTGGGCAAAGATGCGAGGGTGTACCGTAATAATCCATGTAGCCTCCCTCAGGGGATTCGTCGTTCACCAATCAACACGAAACTGATCGTAAATGGAAAACGACAAATGTAATTTAATTATTGAAATAAATATCTCCAACTGAAACGTGAAATTACCTTGCAGTACTGTACTTCCTCAAGGCTGAATGAAACCTCTCCACCCTCCAGCTCTGTCTTTCTATTTTTTTCCCTTAATTATGATTTATGAACGTATTATTCAATTCCAACATACATATATTGATACATGACATAAATTTTTTATGATTTATGAACGTAGAGATTCGAACTCTCAACTTTATAATTGGATACATGTGCGTATCACGATTTCATATTTAATTTTCTATTCTTAAAAATTATACTCACATCTTTATAATTTTTTTGGTATATACACTTTTAAATGTTTCATAAACAAATTTATAAAAGCTACTTTTTCTAGTTTTAGAAAATTGGCTTATATTTTCATAATGCTCCATTTCAATTTATTAGAAGTTCATCTTTGAGGATATTCTTATTTGACAGAATCAAGCTAAAAAGAAGAATTGGTAATTTATAGAAATGGAAATTTCAAAATAAAGTGTAACACTTTTACTCCAAGAAAGAAAAGGAATGCCCCAACTTCATCCTAAAAGGTGGAGAGCTTTTAGGGGAAAAGAAAAATTGGTATACTTTTCAAAACTTTCTAATGCCGGTAGAATAGAATTATTAAAAGTTATAGTAAAATTTATCAATATTGTATTACTATTGAATATCTTTTTATCGAAAAATGCTAAACCCCCAAGACTCATAAAAGGATAAGGCAAACTTTTAATTTCGCTGGAAATTGGTTCGTTTTTCTCTATAATACAATTGTAAATACTAACTTGACTCGTTGGTCTATTTATTGTGCTTCTGCTCTCGAGTATTATCTTGAAATACGTATAGGTTAACATGATGGACTCTTGTCGCATGTTATTTTGAGGGCAATTCCTTTTACTTCCTCGACCTTCTCAAGTTAAATGAATCGAATCGAATCTCTTGATTTTTGTTCTATCTTTTGAAAACTTAAACTTAGCTTCAACTATTCACCTTCTTTAAAACAAACCCCTTTATCATTTCGTATCACAAAGTCATTCATGAATGAAATTGAAGTAGAACCACTAAACCGTGTTTTAAACAACAAAATAATCTCTTTTTTTTCCTTTTTCCTTTTTACAATCAAGAGTCAAAGTTTTGTTCTCTATACTTAAAACATCTGCATCCGTCTCAATACTCATACCCGACAGATATCAAAGAGTTTTTTAATATTAAGATCATTTGAAGGTTAAGAGCGAAATAATCTTGAATATGCATTTGTACCCATTACGCAAATACTAGAAGGAAAATATGCAAAAACAGAACCAAAAAACTAATCTAAGCAGAAGGTACTATTTGTGGTTAAAGACTAGAGAGTAAAATGATGGGAAGTTTAGAAACAGCTTGCCGTGTTGATCATAATTTCCCAATTCTTTTATTTCAATGTCAAAATTTGAGTTTGGAAATTATAAGATCCAAAAACACCAATACAATGAACCTCCAGGCATTTAGGAACCTATAAAACTTACCTAAGCACCCAGGAATTCTTACTTATTTCTTACATGATTTACCGATTGCTCGGTTGCTATTATACCTAAAAAAATGTGGATCCCATTCCCATTTCCCATCAACATTTCTTATGTAACAGGGATCAATCAATATCAGGAAGTTAACCAAATTTCGAGTGTATCTATCACCTGTGGAAAGGTACAAATGGGACAATAATTGAGAAACCCTATTCCAATTCCAAATTCCAGTATAAATCATTAATTAGGCAGATGGCAGTTGTGTCTCTTCAATCACTAGACATGGAAACTTTCGGAGAACTCCAAAACTGCACAAGACTGCTCAAGAGCAGTACCGAGAGTAGTACTTCGTAGAGCTAATTGCTAAAGAAATCAGTGAAAATATCAAACAACTAACGCATACCTTTCTATTCCACCCTTGCGCTTGAAATACACATATCTGCAGAGCCAATCGGAGAATTCATACCGGCGGAAACCATTTATCTTCTCGGAGACTGAAATCGCAGTAATAACAGCGTGAGCATCGTGAAAATTAGGGTTCATCAGACTGAAAAAACTTCGAAGTGCGGAGAGAACCCCTAATTTTCAAGAGAAAAATGAGAGCGCGAAGGGGGGAGGCGCGCAAAACGGCGATGGCATTCATTCCGTACGTAAAAGTGGGCTCATCTCACATGGGCCGAGATACAACAGCCCATTGCACCAAAGATTCTGGCCCATATTGAACTGCCCAACGCCATAACCCAAAACTTATCGAATTATTGCGATGGATTTTCATTATTTCAAAATTTATCAAATATATGTCATCTTATTCTAAGCTGATTTCATTATTATCGCACGGTATTTATTTTTTTAGTCTAAAAAAATATTTTTTTGGAATATATATGTTTCCTTTTCTATCGTTTTTGTTTCTATACTTTCAAAATACCTATTTTAGTTTAGGTTAGTTTAGGTTTTCAATCTTTCAAAATTTATATTTTATTATTTGTACTTTTAATTTTCTTTCATTTTTGTCTTTGGTATTCAAATGTTCGTTTTGGTGTCAATATCTTTTAAAAAGTGATCATTTTGGTCTCTATTTGCAAATTTTATCCCAAAAATTTATACACTGTTAATGTAGAATTCTGACCTCATAACTGGATGAGCTGACCTAGTAGAGGGTGAGGTATCGAGGGAAGACCCACAAAAAGATAGTAGACACTCTGATACTTAAGTTAGATTAGTTCTACCTATCGCTCTAATGACAAGGAATTTGAATTGCATACTTTCGTACGGAGTGGGCCTCTGTATTTATAGAAGTAGGTTGGTGGGTTCTACTTATCGGACAGTTATAACCGTCTCGTGATCCGTGACGCATTGTTAGAAAGACGACTGAAAAGTGGTTTTGCAATATAGCTCATCATTGGTCGAGCTTGAATTAAGGCCGAGATACTCCTAGTCGAGCTATCAATTAAAGTCAAGGTATTACATAGCTGAGATATCAATTAAGACCGCGCTACTGCATGGCGACCTTAATTGCTGTACAATGAAAACCATTTAATATAAATTTAAGGGCTATATCTAAAGATATTTATTGAGTGAAGTTTTAAACTAAAATATTGTAATTATGTTAGGATAAGTTTTTATATGATACAACATTTTTTTCCTAAAAAAAAGAATGATCTTTTTGACGAAGATGTAATGTACGGACTTAAGCATATAAATAAAAGAATTAAAATAAAATGGTCGGAAAGAAAATTCTAGAAGTATCTCTCGGATGGAACAAGCATTAATAAAAATGAATAAATAAGTAAAAGAATAATATAAATGTGTAGGTATTTTCAAAGGGGGGAATATTGACTAAAATAACACAAGTCTGATAAATATATGAAATGGCCAGTGGCTGCCTCTTAATAAAGTGCTATACGTTTTTGATTTCGAACGTGACAGAATTTTCTTATCTTGATAAGATAAAATATACCCAGTAACTATAATTAAATAATACCAATAATATAATAACTAAGTAATTAACAAGTGGGTTAAAAGACTAAATTGGTGGAATTTGATTGGGTAATTATGAATTTATGATGTGTGTACATGCAATATGATATGATATGATGAGTGTGTTTAATTATTTATATTATAATCACTCATTTTTATTATAATTAATGGTATAATCATAAATTAAGTTACTTCAAAAAATTCAAAAAAAAAAAAAAGAAAGTAGAATCAAGATTATGGAGTCCCTTTGAGTTGTGCTCATTAAAAATTTATTAATCTTGCACTAAGGTGTGAAAATTGGAAAATTGGCCATTTTCTCTTTTGGGATTGATCAAGTTAGGGATTAGTATCCATTATATTCTTAATTCAATAAAGAGTTGAAACTCAAACCTTTAATTATTAGAACCATAAATAACGTATGGATCAATTAAGTCAGGGTCATATCACCTGTGTAAAATTAAGTATTACTTGGTCAATAAATTCATAACACTGTTGCTCTTTTACTAAACCATATGAAAATATAGAAAATATCAATGATCCATAACCTGTTGGTATTTGATTCTTTTATTTTTTTTATTTAAGTTTCAATTCTCAATGAACCTTTGTTGAGTTTTGTTTGAGAAAAAAAAGTGACGTGTCATTAAATTATTATTTTATTAAAAATGTGTGTGCATCTAATTACTTTTTTTTTAATACGTTACGAATAAGATTGAATATTTTAAAATATTGTAGTAACAAATTAAAAATTACAAAAAGATGGGAGACTACAAGTATATTTTTCTAAACATTTATGATCATGCATGTCCAACTATCCAACTAGCTGTCAACATGAGTTTAGATCAATGGTAATTGACACATATTTTTTACCAATAGGCCATGAGTTTGAATTTCTCATCTCACTTGTTGTATTAAAATATATATATATATATATATATATATATATATATATATATATTAATACTCATCCGTCAATTTTATTATACTGAAAAATCTCAATTTTTAGATGGATTATTTTTTCGGGAGGAAACAAAGCAAAAGCCAAAAACAAATTAAGAAAAAATAATAATAAGACGAGTCTCTTCGCAGAGATGAAATTCTAAAGGAAGAGAAACTGCTTGATTAGCCCGTCAATTCACACACCGATTGACTTCATGATAAATACGACAAATATTAACACCCCAATCTCGAAATAAAAAGCTAAGTATTTTAAATCAGAGACGGAAGAATGACATAATAACCGAGTGCTTAGCCAAGATATTACCAACAACTTGAGAATTATATTCCACTAATAAAAACCGACAATTATTGTAAGCAGACATTTAAATCAATGTTATCTTAACTAATACATATTTTCAGCATTTATTTCATTTTGATTTATTTGAATATCTTTCATGTCAATGGTTATACAACTTTTAATTGTACACGTATGTCATTATATATACACATATACAAAATCAAAAGTTCAATTTTTGTTTTTAATTATTTTTTCCCTTTCCTCCCTAATCAAACTCTGTTAAATTCATTGGTGATTTTAGAAAATTTAAATCATTGGTATTTTTAAAACTAATTATTTAATTAGAGTCAAATAAATTTAATCATTTTAATTCATTAAACTATATAGGTACGTATATATAGATTTTTTTTTTATTGCTAGCGTGGCTTGTTTCAATACCTATTGTATGTTTAACACAATAAAAAGACTTAGAAATTATTTGTAGTATAGACGTTAGAGATTTAAAGATGTTGTATATTTATATTACACCAAACAACAATAATATTTTTATCCTTCAATTATACTCTACATATTTAAAAGACGCTAAAAAAAGACTATATATAAAAGAAAATCTACCTATTTAATTAGCAAAACTCTTTTGATATCATTCAAATCCAATGACATCCATCATGCCACGTGGATATATCACACTAATAACTTTCCACCTAAAGAAAATTACGATATAACAATCAAAGCAAGCGCCACGCACGTGGGAAAAAATTACAGAAAAGTCCGCACGTGCAGAGGTGGACTGAAGAAGCTCTGCTTTGTTAATTTATTTTTCTTTTAATAATAGTAATAATCCGATCACACGAAGGAGAGAGAAGCCGTTTTCGCCGTCGCCACGTGGCATCATATGGATGAGCTACCTTTCGATCGTGGAAGATTCTGTGGGCCCAGCTTTCATCTAGCGGCGGCCGCAACGACGGCCATGGGGATGGCGGCGGCGGCGATGGAAGGATGTTCTTCATAGAGGAATTGGTC